AGTGTCTATATGAATTTGTGTGTATGTGTCATTGTATTTATATGCATCTGTGTGTTAATGTGCATGAATATCTGTGTAAGTATGTATGTATGTATGTATGTGCATACATCCAAGCAGTCAAACACCAGCACAACATACAAGCACACTCCTGCTAACACAAATACTACATACAAACACAGCCCTGCATTCAAACAAACAAAAAATATACAAACACACCCATTCACTCAAACACAAATACGTCACACAAATGTACATCCACATTTAAAAGTGAACATTAAATTCAGACACACACCTGCAATCAAAACGCAAACATCACATACAAGCACACTCCTGTATTAAAACACAATAAATGTATGCAAGCACCCCTTCAAACACCAACACTGTACATCACACTATAGTGCCAGTAAATGCGGCAGAGCTGTACAGATCTACAACCTAGAAATTTTGACTTGTGGTGCCTTTGAAAAATACTCAAATATTAAGTGCGCCTTGAACCTAAAAAGTTTGGGTACCACTGCTATATAATATGCACTAAAGATAAATAGTTGCATAATCCAACACATTGCTTCTAGATATAAAACCTAATCAGTCGTAAGACCTTGAAAGATATTGTTTTACATGTTAACTGTACTGTAGATAATGCATTTTCCTTAGAGTGCCCTCTGTGGCTCGGTTGTTTGATACATCACTGATGAGAACAGGTCGTGTATCATCTCATTGAGTGTAGTTTAAAACAATGAAGTGTATAGTGAAAGTGTATGAAGTGAAACTAAATAAATTAATAGGGGCTGATCCCGATATATGCGGGGGGCTAATGGATTAGCTCCAAAGGTGCCCAATGTCACTCTCCCTATGGTAGGGGAATAACCCTCAAAATACAATATAAACAGGGGAAGACTATAGATCCTAATGGGGAGAATGACAAAAAAATAGGAAATGGAGCACTACCTTTAGTAATTCTAAGGATGAACGTATTGCGTAAAAAAGTCAGGGAGAGACATATATTGCTGGGTTGGCTAAGTGTAAATAGGTCCCAGAAACAAAGCTACTCAATAGGTCGGAGCCTAAACCTAGCACTATCCCAGCAAGTATTCAAAAAACAGAGGTAAAAAATACTGGGATAATGTGGAGGAGCCAAGCCCCCAAAAAACACACTGTAACAAAAACTCAAAAGAGTCTGACCCTGTATTACTTCAGCACCATGGACTAGCCACTAATGCCTACCTGAACCACTCTCCCTTCCTAGTATAAAAAAAAAGAAAATTAAACTTAACTAAGCTAGTGCATATTAGTGCTTCCAAATGAAGTTTGTGAAAATAACGAATAGCTTGACGTCAGGAGCATCGCTACGTATGCCGTTCATCCTTAGAATTATTAATGGTAGGGCTCCCTTTCCTATTTTTTGTTACTCTCCCTATTAAAACCTACAGTCCTCCCCTGTTTATAAAGTGTGTTATAATATAAACTATATATATATTATTTATTTGAATTTTAATGTCGCTGCAAATGAAAAACCTCTTACATGCATATTCCTGCTGAAAATGACCTAATTTGATGCAACATTATTATATTATAATACAATTCTATCATGCTAAGAGGAATTCATTAAATCATTAAATTGTCTTGGGTTCCTGAGGAATGTTACAGTAATGGGTCTGTAATTGAATATCACTAATTAGGAAAATCTTTGTCCTCAATGCATAGCCCAATTAAAAATGTCTAAGGTAAAGCGACTTCACAATCGTTTTAGCCTGATTTCCTCTAAAAGACTGTCTGTTGTATAAGTGTGCCCTTTTGTTTATATTGTATCGGTTTATAATATTTAGCTTCATTGTTTGTTGTTCTGTAAAATAGATCCATAAATGTCTAGTCCCTAAAAGTTAAATAGCACAAGTTCTGCAGACAGCCTGTATTTACATACACTGATGGGCAGCATTGACCTTGTCACTTGTAGACAGTTACACGTGGCTGACTATTCACGAAGCACCAAGTCACAGCATCTAAAGTCTCAGGGACTTGACATAATTTGAATGAAGAAATGTCAGCCGGCAGCATTTTACACCAACATTGCTAACACTCCAGAAGATTTGAGGTTTTACTTATTGCTATATATATGCTTACTTTAGTGTAATAAACTTTACTCATGGATTTCCAAGCCAAGTTTACATATAAGCAAATGGAAAAAAATGGAACACTATTTGAAACAGACATCTGTCTGTACAACCTTCACACCAATATCACAGAGAAGATTTAGCTGGAAGTGACAAAATAACCAGATATAAATATAATGTAGTATATCAATATTACAAAGAGGTACATTAAGCTCTAAATGAACCACTCATGTGAAGTGGGGCTAGACAGTTATCCTTCTTTTTGTGTGCCCTTGGGCCCATTAAGGCGGCCACTCCTCTCTATTGAGTCCATTGGGACATGATGGCTCACATAATGCACCGATTGCACTCTCAGTGTACTCCCAACCAGATCATTATCAATGTCCTCCTTGGTAAGAATGGAGACTCTGTGTAGTTATCAATCAGCAAGGCTTTATTTATCAATACAATAAAAAAATTGTGATATAGTGTTGTTAAGATTGCACAGATAGATTGTCTTATGTGGTGGTATTCACATTATCGCTTTTTTTTTCTTCACTTCCTCTTTGTATTGGGTGGTTAAAGACACAATGTGTAGTAGAAGCTAATATTACAAAACAGATGTTAATGAATGTAATTTCTCAAAAATGTTCCTTTTTTCTCATATGCACTAAGGAACAATTGTATGTCATGTTTACATATAAGCTAGTTCAAAGTTGTATATCTTTTTAAATACTCAAAGAGAGAGTGACAGAAATCAAAGGATATAGGGACACATGCTATTTGGATAGAAAGAAAGGAGGGTGCATTGGCATTTTGGGTGGGAAGGAATAATAGTAATAATTATTTATCCATCATCAGTTAAGAATAGCGTAATACAAGAGAAGGCTGTCACTTTTAAGGGCGACAGCAGAGAGAATCTAGAGCCATGACGTGAGAATTCCCAAGTTTGCAAATGTCCAAATATTGAAATCTTATCTAAGAAATAATATTTATAGCATACTTCTCAATTGTTTGTCTCATTTTAGCCTTATGTATAATTAATTCACGGTTATTCTCTAGAGTGAGGATTAAAACTGATTTGAAATTTTACATTTCAGGTCAAAGAAGACAAACTGGAAGTATAGCTTAGTGAATTTTACAAGTTTGGCTATTTTAGCTTTGACAATCACTTTAATAGGACATTTCACTGCCCAAATGAAATAAATAAATGATCACTATTTAGCAGATATACCACTAATCAAAACATGCATGCATTTAATTATGCATTTTTTAATTGAGTGCATATCTAAAAATAGCTTGTAAAAGTAGCCTGTACAAACCTTCCCCCTTTTGAACAATATTAGATTACTTCTTAATATATACAAGGTTATTCACTAAAGTCTGAATTTCCCTACACCGAATGGTGCAAAACCATCTGACTGACATTTGGACTGTAAAATCAATGTCCACATTTTGTAAAGCAGGCCTTGAATGTGCCTAAGATTTTAGGTTGGAGAATTCAACTCCAGGTGTTAATAGTTAATAGTTCAAAACTGGCAGCGCAAGGTTTAATAATGCAGCTATGGGGATCAATAAGACCACCAAATTACTATAATGGAGGTAATGTACCACCATCAAGGTGGAGGCATATCTAAAAAATAGTATACACTATCGACTGGGCATCAGTGGGGATAGGGCTTGTAAAATAATGGAGGGACAAGGTCTTTGTGTGGGGGATACTATTCATTTTTAGGGGGCCACCACCCATGATGACAGGGGGCCTTAAGATGTAGAATAAAGTTAGGGGACCTTTTATCCCCTTCCCTGGCCTCTGTCCATGCAGGCGGGTGGGGGGCCATAACATGTAGGATAAAGGGGGAAACCTATTGTCCCCTCCCCTAGCCCTCACCCTTTCCAGTGGGTGGTGTCCCTGATATCAACAATAAGGGGGGTACCTACTGTTCAATCCCCTGTATCCCCACCCATACCAGTGGTTGGGTCCCTATTATGTATAATAATGGATAGGGACCTATTGTCACCTCCCCTGGCCCCCACCGATAGGTAGGTGGGGGCCCTAATAAGAATAAGGGGGGACTTAGAATATTGGTTGTCAAAGCACTCTAATTGGTTGATTTACTAGCCAGCTAATCAGAGAACTCATGTTCATGTTGCAAAGTGGTGGAAATTTTCCCTTACTTTGCTAACGCTGTCATAGCATGATAACACCTATAAAAGGGCTTTTCCTGCTATCAGAGCTCATTCTGCAACAAATTCTCCACAGATAACAATGGTTTATTTTTCTGGCTGGTATTTTTGCCATTGGACTTTTTAAATTAGTGGTATTGGGAATTCTGGATTTATTTGACCCAGGGGGTTGTAACAAGGTTAATTTATAATTGCTAATTTCTATTCAACCACACAATTTGTAAAATGAAAAAGGATGACACACTTTTCATACATAAAGCATTTTAGGTATTTGGAGTTCCTTTAACCCCTTAAGGACACATGACATGTGTAACATGTCATGATTCCCTTTATTCCAGAAATTTGTTCCTTAAGGGGTTAAATTCTCACTTTAGTGAATAACTAGACATGGGCAATTCGGTTCGGTCTGAATGAAAATTCGGAACAATTTCAGACATTTGGATGCTTCATTCGAAGTGCTGAACCAAGCCGAATTGCCGAAGTGCCGAATTTCGTAAGTGCCGAGGTGCTTCGGATTTCTTAAAAGTGGCAAAACAGGCAGGGGTAGGATTGGGGTTGGGTAGGGTTAGGGATAGTGGTTGGGGTAGGGCTAAGAGTAAGGTTAGGAGTAGTGATAGGGGTGGGTTAGGTAAGGGTTAGGTTAGGAGTAGCGTTGGGTTAGGAGTAGGGTTAGGGGTAGGGTTGGGTTAGGAGTAGGGTTAGGGTTAGGAGAAGGGTTAGAGTTAGGAGTAGGGTTAGGAGTAGGGTTAGGGTTAGGAGTAGGGTTAGGGGTAGAGTTAGGGAAGGGGTACCTTTACCCCTAACCCAACTCTAACCCTAACCCTACTCCTAACCCTAACCCAACCCTAACCCTACTCCTAACCCTAACCCAACCCTACTCCTAACCCTACTTCTCACCCAACCCTAACCCTACTCCTAACCCAACCCTAACCCTACTCATAACCCTACCCCTAACCAAACCCTACCCCTACCCTACCCCTTCTCCTAACCCTAACCCTACTCTAACCCTACTCCTAACCCAACCCTAACCCTACTTCTTACCCTAACCCTATTTTTAACCCTACTCTTAACCCAACCATAACCGTAACCCTACACCTAAGCCAACCCTAACCCTACTCCTAACCCAACCCTAACACTAACTCTACTCCTAACCCAACCATAACCGTAATCCTACTCCTAATCCAATCCTAACCCTAACCCTACTCCTAACCCAACCCTAACCCTACTTCTAACCCTACCCTAACCCTACTTCTAACCCTAAACTTACCCGAAGCGCCAAAGCTCAGAATTCCCGAAGTCCCGAATGTTGGAATTGCCGAATTTCTTGATGTGCAGAAGTACCGAATTTCAGAAGTGCCGAACCAAAGTCCCGAATTGCCAAACTGACTAACCAAACCAAATTGCCGAAGTCCCGAATTGCCAAAGTGCCGAATTTCGGAATGCTGAACCAAATTTTTTGCCCATGCACATTCGTATGAATAACCCTGTATGTCTCCAAACAAATATTAAAAAACTCCTGGATTACCCACATCTGTTTAGAAATATTCTACTAAAGACTCTGCAATGCACGTATTAAGTTGCTTACATGACTTTTGTCATTGTAACATCATTATTGATGTTGTCAACTAATTTGTACATGTAGTCATCAAAAGGTTCCTTCCTCACATATGGGTTAAAGGTAATTAACCAAGGTGAGTTACAATATAATCCTGTAATTTCCTAATTAACATCTATATTCTGGGAGTCAGTGGCAGAACTAATGTAGAGAGAGCCCTGGTGCAAGAAAGTTTTCAGAGGTCCCCTCTTGCGCAAGAATGGCGAAAAGATAGATCCCCATCTATCATACAATTCGCACAATGCATACCACATACATAAATACTTACACAGATATACATACATATTAACACACAAACACACACACACACTCAGATACACTGACACATACACAGTGACACACAGATACACACACATGTATATGGCATATGTTATTAACAGCCACCCTCCTGTTAGCTTACTTTTGTCTGTAAGAGGATGGCTTAATTGAGGTGCTGGCTGAGGCTGATGTGTGGCAGCAGCTCACTCGTTTCTCCCCCCTGCTCCCTGAGCTTCCCATCCCTTGTGGCGCGCTCTCCATTTAGCTGGGAGGAAATGCTGTCACTTCCTCCCAGCCGGCTGACATCACAGGGCCCTGATCAGGCTCTTAAAGGGCTGCAGCACCTGACCGGGCTCTTATTGAGCGATAAACATTGCTCAGACCTGGGCCCCCAGAGCGCTCTGGGCCCCGGCCTCTGGATGGGGCCCATCACTGTCCGGAGGCCCCATTACCAGGCAGGAAAAGTTTGGCAATAACTCAGTGGCAAAACTCCGGGTGCTAGACCCCCTAGCGCTCTGGGCTCCGGTGCACAGTAGTTTCGTGACAGCTGGGAGTAACTTTCTTCCCTCTGAGATGCCCTTGCTACAAATGCTAATCACTCATTTACTTCCATTCATGCATTTCTTCATTCATTGATTCACATTTTACTATCTCTGTTTTCACTCTCACTTGACATTCTACGTCTTTCGGGGGCGGAGCCTGACAGCGCACGAGAGCAGTCGCCATTATCCCGAGCTCCGACATAAGAGAGCAATAAATAGCCCAAAACAGCTACACCGAACCCCAAATAAGCACACGAGCACCAGGAAACAACGGGGCACGACCCACTGAATACGCCGATGCCGTTCTTCCAACCCGCGGCAAGGAAAACCCGCAGCCGCGGCTCCAAGGCCTACCGCGCGGGAAACCTCCAGCTCGAAGCTGACTGGGCTCCATGCATGTGGAGCGACCTCGGCCTACCGGACTCGAACACACGCATAACGGAGGAGATGGGTCGGAAGTCCCAGAAACAACCCACAAACACTCACCGAGATATCGGCCAGATGCTGCAAACGCCAGGGCCAAACACAGCCCAGAATCAACAGGTGGATGGGGGAGAGTCTCCCCGCGAACAAACCCCTGCAGAAACCAGGAAAACGACCCCACCCAGGGCAGAAGACACAGCCCCAGCAACAAAGGGGGAGATACAGGACATGCTCACCAACCTTCAAAGAAACCTCCGACAAATGTGGGAAGCTGACCTGGCAACACTGAAAACAGAGGTACAAACACTAAATGCTCGCACCGAAACGAATGAGACAGACATACTTACCCTCAGACAGGGCCTCAAAGCACTACACGAGCAGATGCATCAAATGCAAGCCCAACAAGTCAACCTCACTAACCAAGTCAGCATAATAGACGACAGGGGCAGAAGAAAAAACATCAAGCTCAGAGGAGTCTCGGAGACAGTACCCTTAGAGGAATTACCACACTTCATTAGAAGGCTGGTGTCCTCCATCATCCCAACGCAACAGGCTGAACACTTTACCTTCGATGGGGTATACAGGATCTCTAAATCCCCACAAGCACCCACCACAGCACCACGGGACATCATCCTCCGTTGCCACTCTCTAACGGACAAATTGGGCCTGCTAGCCGCCCTTAAAGGGAAAACCCCGTACGAATTCGAAGCCAGCACCATATCAGTCTTTCAAGACTTGACATTCTACGTCTTTGTAAAACAAATGTGCATGAATTGACCGTGGCACTATCTTTATGAATGGTAACCAATATCTACAAAACAAAGCACTAATAAAAGCAACTGATAAAGCTGGTCATGAGAACATTTCTGCCTAGATACTCCAAGAGCAGCTGTCAGAAGCCACTGATATTAAAGGAAGTGCGAGCAAGCATTCTTCAGAGGTCAGCAGCACATCTGATAGTCTTTCCATTTGTTGCTGTCAAGCTGCAAGATGGGCTCTTCAACTATTCTTTCTATGCACAGGCTATGGGAGGCATTTACTATGCAGGTAGTAACATATTTTTTAATGTTATTTATTTATTTATTTATAAAATATTTTACCAGGAAGGATACATTGAGATTTCTCTCGTAGTCAAGTATGTCCTGGGCCCACAAACACTGCATTGTTACAATATGTTACAATATAATAATACAACAAATAATATAATATGCAATATATGTATACATACACACATATATAAATGTAACACATAACAGGTAATAAATATAGTCAACCATGACAGGTGCATTCTGTATTGAAGTATTATTATTTTTTATTTTGCCTAACAATCTGTGTTCTTTTTATGCTAATCTTTTCTTTTTATTTGTGTCTTTTTATTTTTTATTTCGCACTATAATGGTAGAGATTTATCAAGGCTAAATAAATATAATTTGGGATGCAATGTTCTTTGTGGTTTCCATGGTGATTGCTTCTTATTTATCACTTTGCACTAGACTTCCACCTGTTTTTGCCTTGATAAATCTCCCCTAAAATGTTTTTTTTTTTTTAAAGTTACACTATAGGTACCCAGACCACTTCAGCTCATTGAAGTGGTCTGAGTGCAGTGTTAAACAATGCAGTTTTAGAGAAACAGCCACTAGAGGCGCCTAAGGAATTTTACCGGTCTTTAGGTCACCTAATTGATGCTGGACCTCCTCAAGCTCTGCATGAGGACAGCGTCAGTGAAAACCCCATAGGAAAGCATTGATTCTTGCTCTCGCCCCACATGCGCATACCCCCCCACCCCGTGGAATGACCTCGGAGGAGGCGGAGCACCAACCCAGCGCCAAGGGAGATGAGCGTTGGAAGCTGGTTAGTAAGTAAAGGTTTTTGTTGTTTTTTTTGTCAATCTTTCTTTTATTGAAGGCATATAAGATGGGGTACAAAAGAAAAGCAGGGGGAAAGTACAAGTGATTTACAGCATAGGGTTGATACATCGTTTAGCAATATTAAGTTACATTTCCAGAGTAGCGATGCCTCATTTTTAAAATTTTTGTTGTTAAACTATATGTTGAAGGTACAAGCTATGGATCACAAGGTCCTGTTATTTAAAGGCACAATAAGTGGATAAACTGATTGTTAATCAAGCAGAGGTAACATTACTCTGCGTTATGCAAGCTGGTTGATTAGAGGCATGCCTACTGTGTATGTTTATAGATTTAAACGATATGCTGTACCAAAGGGTTCAGTATATTAACATGTTAGGCTTAAACAATATTCTACATATGTAGAAAAAGAGAGGCATACAGTCTTGTGTAGCATCCTCAAGCCAGAGCTGTCTATGCACAGAGTAGGTTAAACATCAAGGTTCAAGATATACTAAAATAGTTGCCTTGCTTGATGTGTATCTTTGACTCATTAGTTTGAAAATACATGCTATGGATCATATGATCCGGTTGGTAACATGCTAACTAAGTAACGCAGCAAAAAATGGTTGCATAGTTGTAAGCTTATACAGTTAAATGTAGTAAAGGCTGATTTAGCATGTCTGAAGTGGTAAGGCATGTTAGGACATCAGGCTTGTGTCAATAGACATATAAGCCTGTTCAAATGCGGTAAGGCAAGTTGTCATGTTATAAGGCATATCAATGAACAGGCATTGTATAGTTACTTAAGTTGTGTTTCAGGCTAGTTGCCACCATAGGACTCATAATGTGTGCTGTGGATTTCCGCAGGTATGAGAGTCTCTGGCAGGAGCTGGACTGAGTCATACAGCATTAGTTCTGTGATAGTGTCCATTTATGCGGGTCTAGCAGTGTTCAGCAGCGGCAGCTTGATTCTCCTCAGGTGCTGGCCCGGGTGGAAGGCACATTCTCAGACCCCATCTCAAGTCGCGGCCCGTATCTTCAGCCGATCCCCTCTCGTGGCAATGTAGTGGCTGGTACCTGGATGTACTTTGGAGTGTGGGTACGCTGCAAGCAGTGGTGTATCCTGGTTTTGTGCTGCCCTAGGCAGGACAAAACTCAGGCGCCCGCCAACCCCCCCTGCGCGCGCGACCCCCACCCATCCCTT